ATAAATTTATAAGAAGCCAAGGTTCATTGGGAAAAAAGTCAGAGTGCTGCTTTTGACTCCAGTATTGACTCCAGTATTGATTTCATTGACAAGTAAAGTCTGTTCCTCCTCTACTTGCCAGTGAAAAAGAGCAGCTAATGGCTGGGTGGCAAGCACAAGATCAAGATGAAGAGCAGAGGCAGCTACACTGCTGTCATGCGCTGGGACTGGGAAAACATCTTCATTAATGATCCCTAGAAATGCGTTTGTTTATTTATGAGGCCATCTGAAGGCTTTAGCTGTGCTTGTGGCTGCATGTGTGAAGGCTCCCCCTGCACAGGAATGTCACTGTAGCAAGAGCTGGTGTGTCCTAGGGTCAGAAAGGCAAATGTGCTCCTCAAATCGATCTTTCCAGCTGGGGCTAAAATGCAAAATTCCCTGAGTGGGGTGAGAGGACAGTTGCTGCCATGCAATGTCAGCAAGAAGGTAGCAGAAGTGCTAATTAAACAGCTCCTCCCTCTCTCAGGAATCTGCTTCCAAATCAATGTTGGCTTCTTTGCATATGAATGAGGAAACATGCAGCAAGGCTTCAGACCTAGCCATCAAACCACTAAATCCTCAGCATCAGCTGTGCCAGTAGGAGGGTCCAGGTTTGGCCACCCAGAGCATGTGGGGTGCACCACCACCCTGGTGTTGACCCATCAGGGTCTCCTGGAGCATCTCACCTTGCAGAGATGGTCCCTGGGGAACACAGATTTTACTCACAGGTCCTCTCAAGTACCTGTGCAAGCTAACGTCTGCTGACAGTTCACTCTCTGCCAGGCTAAAGGCACCTTTTCTATGTGAGCTGTTCCTGCTCTTTTCTGGGGATGGCTCTGGATCCCTGCTTTGCCCCCATGCAGGTCTGTGGCCTCTCTTGCTGGGCAGTGGCAGCAGCTGTCAGGTTCTGGGAAGGTTCCTTGCTCCTGTTTGACATCTTTTTCAGTGGACATCAGGCAGCTGCTTCTTTTCTCCCATCCTTGCCGTGTTTGTAATGGATGGTTAATGCTCCTGTTATGCCTTGCTTGACATACAAGAAAGGAGCCTCATCTTCAGCAGGTGCTGAAGGTACATCCTCCAAAGTGTGTCAAGATGGTCTTAAAAATCATGTTAAGATACCCAATATCATGAGTTACTTTTTTAAAATTTTGGTGGCAGGCTTGGGTGGTTGGCCCAGAGCCGTGCAAGGTGGTGAGTCGAGGTCGGAGCCTGGCGTGTGTTTCTGAACGGCTGGCTGTGCTGCTCCGGAGAGCTCTGCTCTGCCGCCAGGGATTCAGGGTGTCCGTGTGACCCCACCACGATGCCTGTGACAATCCAGCTTCCTCAGAGCATTTCTTCACTGTTTTGCTCTCGGGATTGTCTGCTCTGTGTTGCCTCCAGCATTAAAACTGGAGGGAGGGTGGTGGATCGCAATTCCTGTCTGTGCAGTGTGCTTTCTAGTACAGTATCACTGCTGACACCTGCGGTAGCAGCCAGCTGAAGACTAATGGTTTCCTGCACCTACTTTTAGCATTGTCTGCTGCTATTGTTCACTTTTTGGAAAGATTCAGCAGCTGGGAATAATTTCAGAAAGTCTGCCTTGCCAGATCCAGTGATATGAATCCCACTTGCCATTGCCTGGCAGCTTTTAATGTCTAGATGAAAAAGTTTTTCTCACCCAAGAGAGGAGTCACAGATGGTATTTGAGAAACATTGGAGATGATAGACTTAGGAGGACACTTGTATGGCCCTTATGCTCTCAGAGTGCCCGAATCTGCAGGGAGATTTGTTGACATTGCTGGTTACATCAGAGCTGAACTCAGCCACGTGGCGCCTGTTCAAGTGAGATGAGTGTGTTGCTGTATCCCCGTGCGGCTCCGAGCGCTGAGCTAATGAAATGGCTGGCTGGCAGGAGATAACTGCTCCTGAGTCTTCTCCAGCAAGAGACATTAATGAAAAGAGTCACTATCTCTTCCTCCTCTTATAGTTAACAGTAAAATCAAGCATGTCACTGTGTCTAATATTTGGGA